CACTTAGAGGAGAAAAAGTACTCATTGCGAGGACTTCTCTGCTACCTTCCATTTCCTTGTTGCTGACTCAGCACTCAGAAATAAAGTGGAGGGATAGAGTGGTGACCGACTTACAAATTTAGAAACTTCAGCAAAATTGCTCTTGCTTTTGTTGAAAACTTTCGAGTTACCAAAATAGGATTTATAGGAAGCTTTGTTTGGACTGAGCTCCTGTGCTAGGCCCAACGAGCTGAACTAAGTTGCTTCTCTGAAGTCCCTAGCTTTCCCAGGAGCAGCAGAGACAGGGCAAGAGACCCAGGTTGGCCAAAAGCTAGAGTGGAACACAACCCTGCCCCCTCCCGCCCCCACAAATGGCCAGTTTTAGCATGAGGACATCCCTCAGCTAGTGCTTTCATGCAGCAGGAGGTGTTGTAGCCTGTGCTGTAGCCTGTGCCGTAGCCCGAAGCATCTCTTGCCTGCTCCGGAGAAGCTGTGATCTTACCACAGGCAAAAGAACTTCAGGATGAGTCAGTATGGAGCAAAGAGGCAGAGGAGATGTGCAGCTAACAGTGGTTACATATGTGATTTGGAGCTTCTGGAATTATATTATTCTAAGGATGTCACCCAAGTTTAAGGATCGAGTAAAGATTTATCCGGCTTGCTTATTTCCCTTGTCTAGAGAATCAGGGTGGTTGAGGAGAGGTATCATTCAGGTTTGTAGATGAGAAAGTGCTAGAGTCTCAAAAACCAAAGGTCATGAGGTTAAGATTAAGGTTAACCCTTAATCATCAGTGTGGCCTGTCAGCTGTTCTGATACTTTTGTTTGAGATACTTCTTTAAAAATGGAGTAGAGTTCTTGGCAGGCAGTCTCACGATGGATTGGCCGGTGTGTTGAAATTTTTTGACTCTCAGCCAGTGAGAAACCTAAACCAGATCTTTCTTTGAAACAACAGCTTTGTTATGTCTTTACTTCTCTCTGACCTTCTCTGTGGAAAAAGCTAACCACTGCCTCGCCCAGCATCCAGAAACCCTTTCCTATACAGTGGAATTGCAACTAAAAGCAATTGAGGTCCTTGTGCTTATAGCAATTTTGTCCTTTGACAGAGTAGAAGGCAATATTCTCTCTGTGATGTTGAAGAGAGGCTAATTATGCATCTTTCAATAATCAGCAATTCCTAGAAAAAAAAAATACGATTTAGATGGAAAAGATGCAAACCAAGAGGTTAGCGCTTTTCTAGCAAGTTAATTCCCACAGACAAGTCTGGAATGTTACCTCTAGCTCTTTGTTTTTTATCTTTGGATGCACATTAGAATCTTGGGGTAGTATCCATTCAATTCAGTTTTTGGGAAGCACCCGAGGGAAGCAGAGCGAGGGCCGAGGACACAAATGCCAGGAGCTTACAGAGCCTGAATATTATCAGGGAAACAAAAGAAACAGGAAAACAGGACCGTGGTTACAGTGAGGTGAGGGTCTAATAAGGATGGACAGAAGCCAGAAAAGTGCTAGTGGCAACACTGTTATTTTTTGAGAGACCATTTTAAGGAAAAGTAGCATCTGAGCAAGGGCCTGGAGAGAGGAAGGGATGGGGACATCGTGGGAGGGGTGTTGCAGGAGAAGGCCCTGCATGGGAAAGAGAATGCCTGATTGTTGTGAGAAAAGAACCAAAGACAGACCTCTCGGCCTCTGGCACATGTAAGAGTCACTGGGGTTCTGGCAGTAGTGTCACTGTTTATAGCGTGTAGAGCTATAAAATTCAGTCTACTGTTGGCAAACTGGAGTTTTATTTAGGAATCTAAATGTGCTATGGCGGAACTACCTCATCTGTAAGGACAGAGGGTAGAGACACCAGCCACAGGGAGCAAGGGGTTGTTAGGACGGGAAGAAAGAAAAGGTTTCCCAAGGCAGGGGCATGGAGTAAAAGGCAAGTCACTTCCCTCTCCCAGTTACAGCTCTGGCTTTTTTCTTCTTCTCTTTTCCTGTCTGTTTTCCTCATTTTTGCCTTTGGTTCAGCTGGCTTAGCCAGTGAGGCCTACCTGCCTTATCCTACCTGTGACAGAGACGACTCCGTGTAGGCACCTCCTACCCTCTCATTCTTTGTCTCCAGGCAACACTCTGTGATGAGCACTCATGGAGGGGTGAGGGGTGAACAGAGGAAGTTAGGAAGGGAACACAGGTGACCTGGGATACGGGAGGACAAGAAAGCACCAATATTCTGCCAGGGAAGAGTTTGCTGGCCATTGTGCACAGTGTCTGAGTCCTGAGTCTACCTTGAGCTTCATGAAAGTGTCATCCTCCTAACATTCTAAACAGCCTGACCAGGATCTCCAGGCCCTTCTCTCTTCTCCAGGCCCTTCTCTCTTCTCTAGGCCCCTCTCTCTTCTGTCCTCTAACTGGCTTAGGACTTTGGACTAAAATCCAAGGCTAGTCCGACCCAGCCACTAATGTCTTACTAAAAAAGGGTGCCTTTCTCCTGAAGCTTAAAGATCGCAGCTGACCAACAGGGGCTCTCCAACACACACACACACACACACACACACACACACACAAAACACACACACACACACACACTACAAAGAACACACAAAGACACATACAACACAGGCAACACACATGCCACATGCACATACAATACTACGCACACATACAACACAAAGACACACACACAACACACATTCAACACACACACACACCACACAGAGAAAGAGGGAGAGAGAAAGAGAGAGGAGAATGCAAATGCAGTAGTACAGCAATTTCTTGGAAGACTCAGCAGACTGCTTGAACCAGGCAATTAAATAAGCTGTGGAAAAAATCAGGCAATGTTCCTTGCTAAACCAGTAACCTGATATTGGAAGGCAGCCTTCCTGGTCATTAAGTGTCCACTAGGCTGAGTGCCGGGCAAGCCCTTGAGAACAGACCCTGAAAACAACACACTGAAGAAATTCTTCTTGTATCAAAACAAGCTGTGAGAACAGGATGGAGTTGGAGGCGGCTGTCTCCTTTGCCTGGGCCTGGGTTACTATAGTTCACCAGGAATTGTTTGGACTCTGAAAGAGCTCCAGATCCTGCCTTGGGGAGCCATGCTTCTTGGCTTCTTTGAACTTCATAGAATGTGGCTATGAAGTTCAATATGGCATAGCTCGTATTGTTCCCATCAGGGTACAGGAGAGAACCTGTGCTCATCCGTTCCTGATTCGGGGTGAACATCATCATGCCTCCCACCCCATGCCCTGCATCTGGGATGTGGTCCCTCTGGTCCTGAGGCTGAGGACCTGTGGTGACAGCTGCATGCAGAGGCATCTTCTCCCACACCCCTCCCTCCTGCACACACTGCCTCTCTGTCTGCCCTTCCCTGTGGTGAGGACACACAGGGAGAAGAAGTTGGAGCCTGTGAGTCCTGCTGCTCCCCAGGAGACCCAGGGGCCTGGCCAAAGTGCATAGTGTGGGAGGTGGGAAGCAGCCAGGCGTCTCCTGGCACTGACCCATGCCAGCTAAGCTGTGTGGGACCCACGGGGCTTAGTGGTCCCCAAGCTGTCATGCCCCTCCTCTAGCTTCCTTTGTCATTTCTGCCCTGCTTGGTCCTGTCTTCCCCTCCTGTCTGAGGAGCCATGTTCTGACCACAGGATGCTGACATGGAAGGAGAGTACAGCTGGAGCTAAGGCCTGAGGCAAGGTGATGACAATTTTTTTTTTTTTTTTTTTATCTAGATAGACCTCTTGTCTTGATTCACAGCCCTGTGCCCTTTCACGGATGCTAAGGGGAAGAGGCCTCCCTGAGCTTTACTCCTCAACATCACAGATTCACTCCCTGGAGGCAAATAGTAATGATCAGTTAACAGCAGAGGTCCCTTATGTCCCACTGGCTGTATCAACATAGAACCCACTAACCGCCTTGTCTCTGAGATCTTCAGTGGTCCGAACGTCGTGCAGGACCCTGTGGATTTGTTCAGTCCCCTGAGCTCTTCCTTCTTCTACTGTCCACTCTCATCCTCTACAGTAAGGTTTGTCCTGAGCACCATTTGGCTGAAAATCATTGTAAAATTGTAGATCCTGAGGGAAGAAAGGTCCTTATGGAGCCTGTGGCCCCATCCACTCTGAATATTAAAAGCAGAGTCCTGTCTGAGGTAGCCTCAGTAGTTCTGTCTACAGACCTCTTTGAGGCCTGAAGATCTGAGTATGAATTTGAATGGCTAGCAGTTATGCTGTGTAATTTAAGCTGGAATGCACAGCGTGCCTCTTCGTTCGTTCGGCAGTCTGCACTGCAGAAGCACTATTCATCAGGTTTCCAAGTCTGTAGCCATCTGGGTATACCTACGGTATGCCCTAATGTGGCTGAGCCAGAAGTCCCCATTTTAAATTCGCACCCCACTTTCTGGCTCCAAGCTACACAAGGGAGGAGGGCCTGTTGCAAAGGGTGCAGAGAGGGGGACTGTGGAAGATTCTCTGATGCCCTCAATTTTGACCCCAGCTGGCATAGAACTGGCATGTCCCTTACATGTCCCTTTCTAGTGAAGACCGTCATGTCTGTCTCGACCTCACAATGGAGAAACTGAAGCTCACTGGAACAGGGACCCGCCCTGGGTCTCATAACTGATCCCTGACCAGGGATGCGTGGGATACAGTGTTCCTGCCCCATCTCAGGAAATGAAACTGTTGATTTTTCATTTACACAAAAATGAAAAAATAAATACCAGATGTTTGGAAGCATAGTACAGTTCCTCTTGCTGGAACTTACAAAGGCATTCTGGCAAAAAAAAAAAAAAAAAAAAAAAAAAAAAAAAAAAATTAAAGTTGAAAACCCACAAAGAAAAAAATAAAAGGGGGTGTTTTGAATGAAAATGCACTTTGTCTTTCTCTCTCACACACACAAACAATATCTCGTTGTTTCTTCTTCAGGGAGCAGCTGGAAAGGAAATTAAGGGAGGGGACAGACACAGCTTCCCATCTTTGTGCCTCACACAGAGCTCAGCTTTGAGGCCAGTCTCCCCCGAGCTGTGTGTGTGGGGTGTGGCATGATGACTATCAAAGGGCAATGGCCTGCTCGCAGCTTATAAAGTGACCTGGGAGAAGCCAAGCACCAAACAGCCGCCTCACTTGCAGGATTCTGTGTGGAAACTGCCTTCATCTTGATACAAGAGGTATGTACGTGGTTTTAACTTTCGCTTAGGATAAATGATGTTTAAAATAGAGACTGTCTTGACTTTCCATTGCCCCCTTTCGACTATAAACTTTCAGTAAATGCTGACTGAGGGCTTTTATAGGCTCTAAGTGCTATTGGCCCCAGTTTTCTGGTGACAAAGTAGAGGAGTAGGTAAGCCTGTGCTTGCCCTGAAGGCTGCTTCTATCCCATACCAAAAGAAGACCATGAGAAAGTTGCCTGTGTGCCAACACAGCACCAGATGAATTCTCAAGTGTGATTCGCCTGCGCCTGACAGTAAGATCAGCTGAAAACTGGAATGAATTGTGTGATCAGAGTACAAACATATTTTGTTTAGAATATGTGGTTTGCTGGGTATAGTGGTGTAATCCTTTAGCCCTAGCACTGGTGAAGCAGAGATCACAAACTGTAGGACAGCCTGAGTTACAGAGCAATCTTGAGGACAGCCAGGCTATGTAGAAAAAGAAGAAAATAAAACAAAAAGATACGGTTCTTGTTCTATTAAAAGGCTACATGTGTTTGTTTTTAAGATCTATTCACCCATGCAAACATTTTATTTTATCATGTGTAATCTCCAAATCTAGTTAATGTCATAGAGCTTCTTAACATCAGGGACTGTGGTTACAGTGACACACATGTGCTCTTGGTAAATTGACCTTACAGAGAACAGGGTCAATTTCAGCACAGCTGGCTTCCAGATGAGACGTTGGAGCTTTGGTGCAGAGCACACAGTGGGTCTCCCAGCCAATGCTTCCCATGGAAGAGCTCAGTGTATTTGGTCTACAACGTACCCACAATCAGTGCCTGGTGCAGGGTGCACTACAGCCTTGGCAGAATTACCTTTAAGTTATTTAATAGTTAAAATTAGTTACACTTATTTCTTAAAGTAAACTCACCTGTGATATTAGAAGAAAAGGAAAACCTGCATCATAAAACATGCAACTTTAAGCCTGCTGTGGTGGTGCTGGCTCTAGGGGAGGCAGAAGCAGGTGGATCTCTGTGAGTTTGAGGCAAGTCTGGTCTACAAAACAAGTCTGGGACAGCCAAGGCTACACAGGAAAAACCTGTCTCAAAAAACCAACCAACCAAACCAAACACATCTTTTACCCAGAGTTAAACATGCACACCAATAGCATGCTCTGTCAGGTTACATGAATCCAAAGAGAAGGAGAATGGAAAATGATGTTATCAGCCTCTCCCCACTCAAGAACGTTTAGCTATAGGAAGAAAACTCAAACAACCAGGCGGCCTCTCTAGAAGCCATGTAGTCAAGGAGAGTTAGCTGGCCTTGTTCTGAATCCTCCCACAGAACGCAAGAGTATGTTTCAGCCCACAAGGGAACATCTTGTAAGGAGACATTTGTCAAAGTTAGACATGGGTTGACTTGTTATCACTGTTGCATGGTGAGGCAAGCTCATCAGGTCTCACAAGCAGGCATTTTCTGGAAGGCACAAAGATGGACACAGGAGGGAGAGTGGTAGAGAAGCTCTGTGTCGAGAGCTGGCCCTGTCAAGGTCCTGCTCCCTTTCAGGCCTCAGTTTCCCCATCTGCACAGCTGGCAGGGGTGAGGGGGGGGGCTGGATAGATGTCCTCTAAGTTCCTATCCATTTTGGAAATGCAGTAGAGTCTACATACTATGTGCCACACTTTAAAGTCCAGTGCTTGGGCAAGACCATTGGCTTACGCCTGTTGGGTAGAGCTACAGGGATTCCAAAAGCTCTTGAGAATGGGTGCAAAAATTTGTGAGTTTGGGCTGGGCTTCTGCAGACATTCCACCCTCTGAAATGTCAAAAGACAGGTGTTGTTTATATTGTGATGGGGAAGGGGGTCTCCAGGACTGAAGATGGTGGTCCCACCACAGATTTGCTCAAGAGAACTTCAGCAGCCACCCCCCCCAAACCCGCCCCAGCTGGCAGCTCCCACTCCTTACATAACTGTTCTTTTGAAAGTCAGGCAACAAAACCTTCAGAAGAAAAGGCTATTGATTATTAAAGTTATTTGGAGGATCAGAGACTCATAATAAAGTGGTTATAATTATTCCTGTTATGACACATCCTTTTAAATGCTCAGCTCTGAGAACATTTTGCTTGCATTGACTCAGTCATCTTCATCACAGAGAGAAAGGCAGCGAGCTGGAAATAGCTTGTGTGCAGCGAGAGGCAAGGAGTCACACAAAGGGAACAGAGGGAAGGCAAGTTAGGGAAAGAGGCAGAGGAGCCCCAAGTCTCCATCCAGAGCCTGCACTGACAGCCATCTCACGCCCCTGTCCACCGCCTCTCCAGAGCCAGTTGTGGCCTTCAATACAGAGGACTTCTGTATTGAAATGGTGCTGCACTCCTACACGTCAGCTGACAGGCCTTCTCTGGCTAAATGCACGTCCTGTATGAAAAACACCCTCAGTGGACATGGAAAACATTTGGGAAAGGCAATCCTGTTGCTGCTTTTCGTAATAACAATTGCTAGTAGTTAGCTGGACAAGAGGTGCGTGTCTTTAATTTCCAGCACTCAGGAGACAGAGAAGGGAAGATCTCTGTGAATTTGAGACCAACCCAGTCTACACAGCAAGTTCCAGTCTAGCCAGGAACAATAGCGAGACACTGTCTTAAAAAATTAAATAAAAAAAAATAAAAAATCCAGTATTTGCTGAGCACCCATTTACTCAGAGACTCATATTCGTATTCTCTCTCTCTCTCTCTCTCTCTCTCTCTTTCTCCAGTGTGTGTGGCAGGGTGTCTTCCCATGCCACTAAAGCTGGTCTTGAGTTGGTGGACTCCAACATTGTCCCATCTAAGCCTCCCTAGTAGGCCCCTTTACCACCATTCCTGGCTTTATTTTATCCCATTTCATTTTCAAAAAGAGTCATGAGATAGACATGACCATTAGTCCAACTTTATAGTCCAACAAGCAAAGGCCTAACTTGCACAGCTACACGTAGTAGGTGCCAGAGCCAGAATCCACCTGTGTAATGCTGGGGTCCCCCACAGGCTATTAAGCAGTCCCAGACCAAGCCTGAGGGCAGCCCAGCAAGGCATTGGCAAGAGTAAGATGTGGCTGTCTGGGGGAGCATTCCCTTAGTGTTGTGCGTGGTTTGGATTTGGGCGCTATGCTTTCATTCACAGACCCTTTGCCTTTCCAGTGCACCTCTTTGCCTAGTCCCTGCATACACATTATTTTTGTTCCAGAAACAAATATCGACTGAGCCCTGACATTGCCAAGACCCTGGGGGTGATTCTGAGGAGAACCAGACAGGGTTCCCACCCTGGAGAAATACGAAATGGGGCATGGGAGGGTGTGGATCCATGAAGGAGGCTAACCCAGGAAGAGATGCTTTGAGGTCGTGGCCTGCTGCAGATGGACAACCAGGCTGGCAGCAGCTGCTGGATGCACCAGCTCAGTGCTGAGAAGAATAGCAACTGAATGATGGCCAGGGTCCATAAGGACTCGCCATCACTGCGTGTCAACCGGAGAGCCAAACACCTCTGGCTGCTCTGTTTCTCCCCAGGTCTCTCCTGGAGCCACCTGGCCCCAAGATGGCGACCATGCTGTTGCTCGTGGCCATGCTGGCAGGCCTCTTCACTGCATCCAAGGGACAAAGCTTCCATCTTGGGAAATGCCCATCTCCTCCAGTGCAAGAGAATTTTGACGTGAAAAAGGTGTGGTAACTCAATCCTCTCGTTTATTTTGAGTGTACTGGGAGTTTTGTTTTATTCCCATTTAATCTCCAAAGCAAACCTTGGGGAAGTGTGTGTGTATGTATGTGTGTGTGTATTTTGTGTGTGGGGGGGGGGGAGGAGTCTCTGCAGACACCAGGGCCAGCAGAGTAACAATCGTGTGGTGTGAGGCAAGAAGGAAACCCAGCTCAGCATGACTCAGTAGCCCGTGTTGGTTCAAATTTCTAGAGTCTGACACTGGGCAGTTTTTCTTAGGCATATTTAAGTACAGTGTAATTGGGGGGAAATTTTCCTGGTGTAACAATCTCCTGTACACAAAGAGTCATAAGTACATCGCACTCTCTCAAAGTACATGTCACTTCTTCCACGAAGATGGGTTCTATAGATGTGTTAGCTTAGGGCCTAGATGAGGAGCTGGTGTGGTCTTGATGGCACGGCTAGCATTGAGGTCATCCAGACTATTAGCCACCTCCAGTCCTGGCTGTGACAGCTTGAGGGAGCCCCTGAACACACAGATAGTGAAAAGGTCACCTCGGCTAGTAATCATCTCCAGTCCCGGTTGTGGGAGCTTGGGAGAGCGAGGTATGGCTTGGCCCTGCAGATAGCACAGCGTTACCTAGGTGGTTAGGCACCTCCATTCCCAGCCTTCTGGGTGGAAAACAGGTTATTCATCTTTTCCCTTGGAAAGGCAACCCTGCGTGTTTAACCTTCCTGGCTTCCCCAGCACTTGCCCTCTGTTGAGGGCAAGGACCTCTGTGCTCCCAACAGGGAAGGCACTTGTCTTATTTTTCCTGAAGCAGTCTCTGAGAGCAGCAAGGGGAGAAGGGGAGTCTTTGGTACCTCACTTTTCCCCGTAGGTGGCTATCAAAAGGCCATGATGGTTCCCATGGCCCTGGCAGGGGAGAGCACAAGGTGGTATGAGCTGTCTCCCACCGCTACGGGGAGGTGATGGGGGTGAGCATGGCGGATGTGGGTAGGGCGTTATCTATGGCTGACTCACTACTACTGTCCTACACAGAGAGAAGCCGGGTGTCCCTCCCAGGTGATGCAGCTAGTTTAGGTGCAAAGAGTTCAAAACTAGGCTTCCCATCAGTATAGGTAACTCAAGACAGGACTTAGGAAAGGCCAGAAGTCCCCCAGGGGTGCTCCCCATAAATGCTATTAGATGACAGAACCTAGCGTCTCCACAGCTGCGGAGGGACTGGACTCTCATCCCAAGGTCCCTTCTCCTTAAAAGGCTTTGATTGCTTTTAGGAAGCAGCACACTCGGTTTGAGAAACACTGACATTATCGGTGACTGGAACTTTGGAGTGAGTGTTGGGAATGTTAGAGGGAAGGTTAGGCAGAGCTGGGAGGGAAATGCTTTAGAGACCGGACCGGGTGGAACGGTAGGTGTGGCCAAGGTAAGGAAGGAAAAGCCACACCCTAAGGCCTGCACCGTTTTAAGGATTCCCTTTAGCTGAGTGAACCTGGAAACCCCGCAAAAAGCCTTTATGATACTATCCGGGGAATTCGAGTTCGGCCTTAGTGTGGGAGTGAAAAATTCCCAAATACCTTGGAAATTACAGCTGGTGTCTTCCCTTAAAGAAGTCCTCTGAGAATTGAAGCAGAATGTTTTTTTAAAGATTCCTTTTTTTAAACTTATGTGAACGTGTGTGCGACTGTGTGTGTGCGTGTGCGTGCGTGTGTGCACAGGTGCCCAAGGAGAAGGTTGGAGCCCTCGGGGCTGCAGTTACAGGCAGCTGTGCGCAGTCCAGTGTGTATCCCGGGACTCAAACTCCAGTCCTCTGCAAGAGCGTCAAGCGCTCAACCGCGGGGCCAGTTCTCCAGCCCTAAAAGCAGGATTTTTAAGACAAAAAAAAAAATGTGTTAGGATTAGTTTATATATCATATTCTGACTTGTTCAAAAAGGTTTTTTTTTTATTTCAAGGATTTTTTTTAATATAGTCACTGTTATGCAACCACCATTAAATCAATTTTAGAACATTTTTATTCTCTTAAGAAACCACAAACCCACTAACAGTCTTTCCATCTGCATTCCTCAGACTTTTCATCACTGTGACAAATGCCTGAAAGAAACAACTTGAAAGAGAAGAGACTCATTCTGGCTCCTGGTTTCAGTGCTTTCAAGCCTGTGGTCCATATGGTCCATAGGCTCATGGGGAGGCAGAGCATCATAGCATGTGTGGTGCAGGAGGCTGCTTAGCTTCCTTAGCTTAGCCAGGAAGCAGGGAGAGAGAGAGAGAAAGACAGAGAGAGAGAGAGAGAGAGAGAGAGAGAGAGAGGAGATAGCAAACACACATCTCTCCCAGGCATGCACTCACTGGCCTGCTTTTCCTAACTAGACCCCCCCCTCTTACCACCTCCCAATACATCATATCATGAATCCATCAAGGGATTAATCCATTGATTAATCAGCATCCAATCACTTCCTGAAATTCCCACCTCTGAACTCTGTTCTCATCAGGACCAAGCCTTCAACATACAAGCCTGGAGAGAAGCTTTACATCTAAGCCAAAACATTCCTTTTCTTCCATCTCCACCATCTGCACACAACCAATATTTTACTTTCTGTCGCTACGGATTTGTCTATTGACTATGCAACACTAGCCTTTTGTGATTGCAGGGAATGTTTTCAAGGTTTACTTGTGTCACAGCATGCAACAATACTCCTCTTCCTTTTGCTGCCAAATGGCGTGTGCCTTATTCTACAGTTTATTTATCTTTATCATTTGAGTTATTTCACTTTTTTTTTTTTTTTTAAAGATTTGTGTATTATGTGTACAATGGTCTGTCTGCCTGCACACCTGCATGCCAGCAGAGGGCACCAGATCTCATTATAGATGGTTGTGAGCCACCATGCGGTTGCTGGGAATGGAACTCAGGACCTCTGGAAGAGCGGCCAATGCTCTTAAGTTCTGAGCCATCTCTCCAGCCCTCAGTTTTCTTTTTTTTTTTTTTTTTTTTGGTTTGTTTGTTTTTTTGTTTTTTTAAAGAGGATGCCCACTGCTGCTGTGGGCATTCAGGCCTGAGGCTTTGGGGAAGAGAGGGGCATATGTTTTCAGTTCTTTGGAGGATGTATGAAGTGTCATTGAAGATGTGGTAACTATGTTTAACTTTTTGACAAGCTGTTTTAGAAGAGTTGCATCATTGTACATTCTCATAAACAGCCTCTAACTCCAACTTCTCTGCGTTGTCCCCCACAGCTAGCTTTCTTTCTTTCTTTCTTTCTTTCTTTCTTTCTTTCTTTCTTTCTT